TATTCCCGATGTAACAGTTATTCCGGTGGAAAACAGCTGAGTGCAGTCACTACCCTTCGGATCTACTCTCTACAAGCTAATCATGGAGATCGGTGCTGAGGTTCAGGCTCTATTCCAGCAGCGAGGAAATTTCTGTTCAGAAGCGATCGTAAGCAGAGAGACAAAGGAGGGGAGCAGTTTGACCAAATGAAAGAAGAAGGATGGGGAGAGCCAAAAAAATTCTTCCGGACAATTAGGACTTACGCCTCCCACCGGCCCAAACTAGGACCCCCTCCGTTCCCATGTTTATCACAACGAGTGATGTACCCTTGTCGGAATAGCGCTGTCGTTTTAGTGGGACCTTTAACCCCACCAATACATCTAAATTTGCCCTACTGCGCTTTCTTTCCACAACAGGATTTTCAAAGTCAGTTTCTCCGTTAGAACAGTTGTTACCTTCAAACTCCTAAAATTTGATATTTCATAGGAAAGAAACCTTTGTTCAGGAAAAAACCAGAGTCGATAAGTAGGGCAAATAACAGCGAAAAGTTGAACCCAAATTTACTGGGCGCTCGTGCAAAATTACGTCTCGCGCAGTGGTCGTAATTGCGGATGTTCAATACTCATTCAAGTTATCGATTTGCGATTTCCATTTGCCATTCGCTATCACTTCAGTGAAAGTGAGTTTTGTACAACTGAGAAACCTGTTCTGTTTTGATACTGGGATACCGAATAAGTTTCCACGTATGACCACTTCAGAGGTCCATTATTTCCTGAATAGCCTAGTCTCGCGACATTATTCATCACCGCTTCTGAAGATTTCCTTTCACGATTCTATGTTTTATAGTGTCAGCGACATGTACAGACATTCCAGATACTAGAAATCCTGTTTATTGGGGCGGGAGGGCATTTCAGTCCACTGCAACACTAGATATTGGATTCCTCGGTGAGGTCCGGAGACATGCGGCATGATGGGGCACCTTTCCTGGCCGTATTTTTATCTTCGCGTTGAAATCGGTCCGTCGTGTGGGTTTTTCTGAATCCTTTTGCAGTTGCGCCTTTTGCTTTCAAGTGCACCTGCCTGCAAGGCGCGATCTCGAATCACGACTGAGGTAAAACTTTGCTCATTAGCAGCCTTGTGATAACATTAATATTGTTTTTTTTTGCTCTAATGACATTGAGTCGCTTAAATGACTCCTTGCAACGTGATTCAACTAGGAATTAGTCTTCAATCCATTTAAATTGGTTCATAAATTGTAGAGCTCCTCCCCTTTTAAGTGTAAAGACAGTCCCCACATCAGTTGCGGAATCCCAACTTTGCGCAAAGTCCTTCGAATGCCCCCTCCGCGAAAATTATTAGCGCCGTTTCATTATTGTTCTAAAATTGTAGAGGGTTATATATGCCTTACCAGCTAATTACCGGTGACTGGGGGAGAACGGCTTC